AAGGGCAAACAATGAGAAAAAAAGAAAGATAGCGGCTCAACATATTATCGGCTCAAGCTATACTGTCTTCTCTTATTCACGTATTGTTCTCGCTATTTCACTTAGCTCTTGCATGTGTTTGAATACTCTCGAATCCCTCGGCTAATTTCTCTCTCTCTCTCTCTCTCTTTCATGTTTGTGCTATCTATTCGATACCACAATTGCGCTGCAGTATAGGTGCGAATGCTTTATCAAATATCCATTCATTACAGGAAAATAAAAAAATTAAGCATTTGAATATATATAAAGTTTATTTATGGGCATATATTGTTTTATCATATGCAGTTATTCCACGCTCATTTGTTTGTCATATTAATAACGGAGATGAAGCCATTGCAGCCTTATTGTGACTTATATATAACTACATAAATATTTGTGATGTTCGTATCACTTATAATATAATTAATAGTTCGTACTCTCGTGGTCTTGTCGCGTTAATGAGTAAGAATTTGTTTCTTTTCAAATTTACTCTAATTGTCAATATGAAATAAATCGATAAATCAAATGTATGTAAATAATAAGTAAAGTTCCAAGGAAAGTCAGACTATGCCCTAGTTTCTTATGGTGTGAATTGTCCCATAAGCAGAGCTAAAGTCTTCCTTATAAAGTATATAAGTCAACCCAAGTTTCTTATAGCGCGAAATGTTCTATAAGTTGAGCACGAATTATAGGAAAGGAAAGGTCTCGCTCAGTTAATCACAATGAGAGAAAGAACTTAGGTATTAGCCAAGTTTATTCAGACTCATGCGGTCACTTTGCAAGGCTAGAAGTGAATGCCAGCCTGTGCAATAGTGGGCGTATTTATACAGATTTATCCGCCTATTTTCGCAGGAGCGTTTTCTTCGAGAAGTCTTCGAATATTCGAGAAACATTCGCGAATTTTGAGAAAAGAGTTTTCTTAATTTACAAGTAAATAAACATTAATAATGAGCTTTCAACACATGTAAGCTTTACAAAATTAGTTATTGGTCGATTTAGTGTAATTTGCAATTATCACAAATAGTATAGTCAAAAGTAATTAACTAATAAAGTTAATTAATGCAATATTACAATATTTACAATAGAATAATATTAAATTTTTACATAACTTTGTCGTTTATTAATTTTAGAAGTAATTTCTCAAAAGATATATTCAAATTAGTTAATAACATTTGAATTATAACAAATTTTCATATTTTTAACGGTTTTTTCTATAATATTATAACGCAATTATTAGATTAACCCATTAAGGACCAGGCCAAAACTGGAAGAGATAGCGTCAAACTAACTATGCGTTCATAGGCAAATCGAAAAAAAAAATACCAGTGTTTTTTCTTTTGCCATTTGCAATTGTTTATAAAAAGTTATTTAAACAAATTACCAAAAAAGTTATTGTTTTACGAATCTGATTGCGGAAATCGATTCTACGGGAAAAAACATGAAAAAAATTTATGTAACATTTTTTTACCGGACTTCAATTTGTCATGAAAAACAGCTATCAAGCATTGAATTGATACCGACAGTCACAAGTGATTCAACCGGATGGTTGAGTTCAGTTCAGTTAAAAAAAAATTTTTTTGATTGTAAAAATTTGTAAACCGTGTTAGAGATCACGTTTGAGTGGCGGGCTAACGGTTTTACAGAAAATTTAGAGGTTTTGTTTCTTGATACGAAAATTTGATTTCTATCTGACTTACAGCGAAAATCTATAATTTCTTGTAAATTGCTGTTTATTTTTGAACCAAGCAAAAATGACAAGGCGGATGGTTAAAGATTTAACCGATTTTGTCGAGGATGATGATATTAATGATTCCCGAGCTCATGTCGATATATCGTTCATTCCCGGAGATCACGAAAGCTCAGATGGGGATTCTGATTGAAATTTTGACGAAAATATATCATTTGAATTGATTCCTGTTGGTTCGTATGAACATATAAAAAGCGCATACAGCAGCACTCAAAAACTATTAGAACCCAATCATGTTTACGATTGGCAAGTATTAGATTTGAATAATACCTCAACTATGAATACGATGATCCCTTCAACGTTCAATCCATTTCCTCTTTGTATTCTAAAAACTCTTTGGAATTATTTGAAGTATATTTCTCAAATTCAATGAAAAATTATATCATAGAAGCTACAACTGAAAACAATTTTGAATTAAGTATGAATGACATAGAAAAATTTATTGTTATCATAATGATTACTATTTTCAATTCGAGAAAGAATCTCCGTGACTATTGGTCAACTAAAAATCTTACAATGTCCAGTTATTTCTGAACTTATGACAAGAAATAAATTTATTGAAATCAAGAAGAAAATAAGATTTTATAAACTTCAAGATGAAAATAAAAATGATAAAGTTTGGAAAATTAGAAGTTTATATGATTATTTTCGTGAAAATAGTATGCAGTTCGGTTTTTTTATTACAACTTATCAATAGATGAGATAATGGTAAAATATTTCGGGAAGTTTGGCATAAAACAGTGTATTAGAAATAAGACAATCAGATTTGGAATAAAATTATGGGCCCTTTGTTCCTCAGATGGATATTTATAGAACTGGATATTTATACAGGTAAAGCAGGACTCGATGAACGGAACCCTCTAATTGCTGTTTGTTTGGGATCGAAAGTCGTTATCAAGTTGCTATCGCCTTTACTACAAGTAACTAATAAAGAAGATCTTACTAAGTATCATGTGTATTTTGATAATTTTTTCACCAATCCAGATCTTATGGTACATTTGGAAAAAATTGGATTATCAGCAACTGGGACGGTCAGACAAAACCGCGTCAAAGAAAAAGTTGAAATGCCAAAAAAAGCTGAGAGGGGAACAACTATCGCTCTTCACGATCAAAATTCCAAACTGAATTATATAACTGTGATGGATTCCAAACCTTTATCAGTGTTATCAACAAAATTTGGGGATGAACCGAAAATTGAAGTGCAGCGATGGCATAAAAAAGCTAAGAGGTCCATTCTTTTTCCTCAAGCGTTTTCTTCCTATAACCAAAACATGGGTGGGGTTGATTTGCATGATCAACATTGTAATGCTTTGATGCCTTCAATTAGGAGTAAAAAATGGACATGGTGTCTGTTCTTACGACTTATTCAGGCTTCATTGACTAATGCTACTGTGATTTATAATAAGCTGCACCCAGACTTGCCCAAAGGTTCAAAAGATATTGTGCAAGAAGTTTGTGAATTTTATCTTGAGAAATCAACGTCCTAACAAGCGAAAGAGATCAAGTGACACATCATTACATAAACACGTAATCAAACAAGGTATGTACAAAACATGTGGGGTATTATCGTGTGAGATGAAAACTGAATTTTATTGCCAAAAATGTGCTATACCCTTGTGCAAAAGACACCGAGAAGATCACGAAAATAAAACTGAATAAAAATTCAATCGAATTACATGATCAATGTTTGATAGCTGTTTTTCATGACAAATTGAAGTCCGACAGAAAAATGTTACATATATTTTTTTCATGTATTTTCCCGTATAATCGATTCCCGCAATCAGATTAAAAAAAATTACTTTTTTGGTAATTTGTTTAAATAACTTTTTATAAACAATTGCAAATGGCAAAAGAAAAAACACGGGTATTTTTTTTTTCGATTTGCCTATGAATGGTATAGTTAGTTTTTCGTTATCTAGCGTAGATTTTGCTTGGGATTTGGGGAAGAAACTTTGACTGTCGGAGCCGCAATTATTTATTGCCGTTTTACATTAACAAATTGAAGTCCGATAAAAAAATGTTACATAAATTTTTTTCATGTTTTTTTCCGTAGAATCGATTTCCGCAATCAAATTCGTAAAACTTTTTTGATAATTTGTTTAAATAACTTTTTATAAACAATTGCAAATGGCAAAAGAAAAAACACGAGTATTTTTTTTTTCGATTTGCCTATGAATCGCATAGTTAGTTTGACGTTATCTCTTCCAGTTTTGGCCTGGGCCTTAATAGGTTAATTATCTAAGATTTAGAAATTATAAAGCTATCATTATTACGTATAAAATTAACGCTTTCGTTCTATATACAACTTACTGTTTAAATAATTTATTAATTATTTATTTATTAATAACAGTTATTATTTAACTGTCGTTCATGAAACTAATTCTTACTCATGTTTCTTAGATATTCATTTTGAATATGGAGTATTTACATTTTTCTAATAATTAATATTCATAGTGTAATAAACAAATTAACTTTGCATATTAAAATTCCTTATTATTTAGCAATTAAACGCAATTCGTATTATTATATTCTAAATCTATATATTAAAATCTATATAAGAAATGCTTTGTTATATCAAAATTACGTCTAATTAACATATTTGATTCAAATAACAATAACCATTATATCTATATCTATCAATTTGTAACGTCACGCTCCTTATATGGTCATGAAATTAGACTCTTGTACTAAGACAATCGAATAATAGGTGAGGTGGCGCCGTTTAATATACTGATTAATGTAAACAGATAGATGAGTTTAACGGGTTGCAGTGATTCAGTGACATAATAAACTAGCTCATAGATAGGACCGTTATATATTCAAAATAGTATTATCAGATAAGAAAAAGAAAAGAGAGATGGAAACTAAAAAGAATTTTCCAAAACAGAGATAAACTGTTGACTTGTAAATATGAAATAATTAAATTTTTGATTTTTCTAGATGATTTCAATGTATATTACGGTTTTAAATATTTCTTGATTGCAATGTGTCTAAACTCATGAAATGATACGTAAGTAGTAGAAATATAATATCAGATAGAATTCCTTTGATGGAATCCTGTAAATAGAACCTTAAATTTTCCGATAACTATTGATAAGACAATGTAAAAATACTAATTCAATTTAAATTTAAATTATAAATAAATAAAACACAATAAAAACTTTGTATATACTCAGAAAAAGTTAAATCATGATTATAAAAATGTATAAGTATTTGAATATACTTCAATTCTTACCCGTGATTTTGTAGTAACCAGAACTTGGTTATTTGTAATTGATGGTGTAACAACATTTGGGATGCTTAGTTCAGGATTCAGCGATATGATGGCTTCAATTTCTACCTAAAATGACATAAACAATGAATATCGCCTGCACAATTTTTAAGTAAAATCAAAGTACATGGCATAAATTTCTAAGGTGCATTTACAGGCGACACTATTCACAGTACCATCATGTACAAAAAGTCCTAAAGCTTTATAGTTTTTAGAATTACATAAAAAAAATTTTTACAAAATGAAAATGATATGTTTTACAAATTTTTACTCTTTTTTTAGCGTGAGACTCAGAAAATAATCAGTACTTTTTTGTTCAACTTTGCCCTTTATTATCATAATCCCAGCTGAAGAACTCTTTTCCCTATCTAACATGTAGTACAGATTTTTGGGACTATGAATAGTATTGTGATATTGAACTGAGAAAATTAATTATTATTCAAATTTGAAAATTCAAAAATTTTTTGGCCATCTTTGATTCCGGCCTGTATAGTCAAAAAAAATAGTAGCAAAATTTGAGATACGTCATTTTTTAGCTTTTTCCAAGCACTATCGAAAATGCTCATTATAAATTCAAATTCGTCGAATATAACGCGCGCAATGAAGTTTTGGCTAGAAATTAACCATTTTTTAAAAATTTGAAATATTTCAGGAAATTCGAAAAATAGAAAAATATTTCACCTAAAGAAAATGTTTGTTAATCCAAATAAAATGCAACAAAATTTTTACTTTTTTTTATCGGACGTTGACGTACCTAGTAACATTTAATCTGAAACTAATTGCCAAAATTTTTTAAGTACTTTATTCAATCAAGAAATAAGATATGATCTCTGTTTCCATGATAATATTAGGAGTACAAATAGAAAACCGCCGTTTTCCCATAGGTGGCGTCAGTATTGCACGTCGGTAAAAAATTGTTAACAGGAACGTTACATAGCCAGCTGAGGCATTTGTCAACAACTCTTCATCACCTCGCTTGTCTATTTTTACTGTGCTTTGTTTTGTTCGTGCGCAAAAATGGCAAAATTCGAGCCGAACAGGAGACATTTGCGGGAAGTGTTGCTTTTTGCATTTCATTCGGGAAAAAACGCAGCTGAGGCGCGTCGAATGATTGTAGAAACTTATGGTAACAGCTGTATTATTGAAAGAACGTGTCGGGAATGGTTCCGAAAGTTTAGAAATGGCGAGTATGACGTAGATGACAAGGATCGTCCCGGACCCGTAAAAAAGTTCGAGGGTGCGAAATTGGAGGCTTTGCTGGATGAAGATTCTTGCAGAACGCAACAGGAACTTGCGGATTTATTGGGCGTAACTCAGCAAGCCGTTTCCCATCGCTTGAAATGCTTAGGAATGATCCAGAAAGTGGGATGTTGGGTGCCGTACGAGCTGAAGCCGAGGGACATCGAACGGCGTCTTGTCACGTGCGAACAACTCCTCCAACGGCAAAAAAGGAAGGGTTTTTTGCATCGCATTGTGACCGGCGATGAAAAGTGGATACACTATGAGAACCTAAAGCGGAGAAAATCGTGGGGTCTTCCCGGCCATGCATCAACTTCGACAGCGAAACCAAACATTCATGGCTTGAAGCTGATGCTGTGTATTTGGTGGGACCAGATTGGCGTAATTTATATGAACTCCTGCAACCACGCGAAACCATCACAGGAGCCCTCTATCGGATGCAATTGATTCGTTTGAGTCGAGTGTTAAAGGAAAAACGCCCAAAGTACACGGAAAGACATGACAAGGTCATATTTCTGCATGACAACGCTCGGCCACATGTTTCCAAGGTCGTGAAAACATACCTGGAAACTTTGAAATGGGACATCCTATCGCACCCGCCGTACTCTCCTGACATCGCCCCTTCTGATTTCTACTTGTTCCGATTGATGACGCATGACCTGGCCGAACAGCACTTTCGTTCTTACGAAGAAACCAAAAATTGGATCGATTCGTGGATCGCATCAAAAGACGAACAGTTTTTTCGAAGAGGAATTCAGAACCTGCCAGAAAGATGGGAAAAAGTTGTGACTAAGGATGGAAATTATTTTGAAGAATGAGATTGTAACGAGTTTTTTACAATAAAACCTCAAATTATTAGAAAAAACGGCGATTTTCTATTTGTACTCCCAATATTAAGAATTTCTTTATCGATACCAGATATATCTTATTTTCCGAAAAAATAATAGTGTAGTCAAGTGTTGGTAAATTGTATGAATTTTGATAAATATTAAATTTCAGCGTCAAATTTTCTATTTCATAAGTAATATTACAATCAAATTAAGCTTCAAAAAGCTGTTTTGATTGACCATGCCTAAGAAGAAAAACTTATCTACGGAGCGGTGTGTAATAATTAAGGCATTGCATAAGCTTAGTAAAAGCAATCGCCAAATTGCAGATTATCTGAAAATTCCCAGACGTGGTGTAAATTATAATGTATGTAAATTACTTAAGTATGGTAACGCTAAAAATAGACATGGGTGGCGGGGGGAAAACTAAGAGTAATAAACAAGAAAAATAATAATTCAATTTACGCAAGTCAAATTTACACAAGTCAATTTACGCGATAGACGATAAACTACTGCTTAAATCGAATTCCAAATTTAAGCTAATTTGAAAATGAAAATAAGCGAAATAAGTATCAAAAGAAGATTTCAAAAACGTGATTGTTCTTTTCGAATTGGTGTGAAAAAACCTTTACTTTGAGAAGTTAACAGAAAAAAACGTTTATTTTGGAGCAGAGAAGATAGATATTGGACTACAGCTGATTGGAAAAACTTTCATGGAGTGACGAATCTAAAATCGAAATTTTTGAAAACAAACGGAAAATTTATGTGCATCAAAGATTGAATGAAACATTTTCACAAAATTGTATTGTGCCCACAGTTAAGCATGGTGGCGGATCAGTAATGGTGGTTTGGGTATGTTTTCGGGGTTCCCATGTTGGTGACCTTGAAAAATAGATAGAATCGTAAAAAAGAAGGCTATCACAATATTATTCAAAGGTGTGTCATTTATTCAAAAATTAGAATAATTGGCCCTATTTTTATATTTCAACAAGACAAAGATCCAAAACACGAACCTAACGTTTGTAAGAAATACCTGTAGAGTCTTGAATAAAGAGATAAATTCAAATATATGGTTTCGCCTCTCCTATCTCCGGATTTAAATCCCATTGAATTGTTATGTGAAGAGCTTGATCGTGCTGTACGAAAGATATGCCCTACGTCTAAAGGATGCTTAGAATTTACCGAATAGTAATTAAAAGTAAAGGTAGACACTTTGATTGAAGTAATGTTTAATTTATGCTCTAGTTCAATGTTATTTATTAATGATGATATTATTATGTTAGAACTATTTATTGCACACAGTTAATATAATTGATAAATTAATTTATATATATTTACCATATACATCAAGTCCAAAATGTTATGTTTAAATCATATGAAAATAAGTGCCTACTAAACCTTGATTGAAAGACTTATGACATAGCATGGTGGAAGAAACACATCGAGATGGAGACGAGACAAATCTGAGGACCACTTAATAAGGCTAATGAGGTGAATAACCTTGAAGAATGGTTATTTAAGAACAGGAATTGATAGGTGACAATTCGCGCCAGGCGAATTTGTCCCGTATGTAGGCCTTTCAACAGCCGAGCGGCCTTAGACACCCCGACCCGTTCGCACGTCAATAATGAAATCCCTATTAATTTTAATCCGGCACTCGATACCGTGATCATAAAATATTTAATCGGACGTTTATATATATTTTCACTTGGTTATATAAAAAAAAGAATGTAATAGAATTTTTTTTTAATATAACGGGGAAGCATATGGATACACTTAAGCGCGTTTATAATAATTTATAATATTTATTCTAGTAAGTTTAACTACATAAATAACTTAACCAAAAATAGAGAGAGATATATAAATGCGTAATCTTCACCTCGCGTTGTCTATTATTTGTATTACATAAAAATAAGTGGTACTCACTTAGTATTAATAAGATTAGTACAATTTTGTCCTTGGTATTATTTATTTAATTTGTGAGTATGATCTTCCTTCGTTCTGATCAAATTTACTGGTCTAATATATGTATATATTTTTATTTAATATTGCGGCAGCAGATAAGATAGTGATGATTTCTATAGTTTTCGTTTATAGAAAAGAAAGAAATTATCTGAATGATCGCACTTAACACTTTTTTTTTAATATTCTATTAAAACTCAAACTCTGATAATTTAAACTCCAATAAGCTCAGACTGTAATAAACTCAAACTCAATAAACTCTGATAAATTTAATTATAGCATTGGAGGAAAAATTGCAGCCTTCTTAGTTGGGCGCTCACTCCTAACTGAAGAATCCCTTGCTCGTTCTCACCGGTTGGTTATATATCCTTTGTTTCCCTCTCATTCCTCACACTCCATCTCTCTCTAGTGCATACATTTTAATCGTTTCGCATTATCTAAATCCGGACGCTGAGTGCGTCGCAGCATACCTCAGCGGCTGTGCTCAGCGTCTTCCACTCGTTTCCGCTAAGACGCGCACACGAGTTTGAGTGTGTGTGTGGGACCGAAAGCGAGAGTCTAATCAAGCATACGGTTGCAAAAAAAAGAAAATAATCCGTCACGTAACATCCCTCCCCCCTGAGAATCGTTGCCGTCTTTGGTAACGTTTTGGAAGGGTCCAATTAGGGTAGTACAGGAAAAGAATAGAAAATAATAATATATGTAATAATAATAAATAATAATAGTAACTAATAAAATATATGGTCCTCTTTGATCATATATAACAAAAAAAATAAAGGAGAGAGACAAAAGTTTATGGTTCTGCTCAATCTTCATCTGCGCAACGCAAGTGGCGGATATCCTGTCCAGCTGTTAAATCTAACCCCTCTAAATCTTGTAGATAGGAAGTTTGATCTTGAAGTAATAAGTACTGGTCATTAGGTTTGATTGAGGGAATTTGTAAAAACAAGGTCAGCTTCTTTATGCTATCAAAGGGGGACCCGTTGTAATCATAGGTCCCTAGATTACAATCTTTTAAATACTGGTCCCAATTGGAGAGAT